TAATTTATCATCTCAATATACATTTAAAAGATTTTTTATAAAATATTAATAATATATTCTATTGGTGGAATTGAATAAAATAATCATTTCTCTATCTTAACATCAATTTTTAGGGCGTATTGGTTCGCAAATTCTCGTAAATTTTAAAGGAATCTGATGGAATTGAAATGTTTTTCATTGACCAAATTTCATTCTTTCGTTTGGTTCATTCTTTTTCACGAAAAGAATCTTCAAAATCCTACAAATAAAGAAATTTAACATTCCTTAACAACTACATTGTATTTTGATGGAATGAAATTTTCTATCTTCATAATACCAAATATGTCTTTAACCCAATATGCCTTTAATCTCATAAAACCCAATATGACCATTGTTGACCAACTCTGACCACCGTCGACCACCGCCACCTGAACCACCATCGACCATCGCCATCTGAACCACCGTCGACCATCGCCATCTAAACCACCGTCGACCATCGCTACCTGAACCACCATCGACCATCGCCATTTGAACCACCGCCGGCCACCACCGTCGATTACCATCGATCTAAACCACCGCTGACTATTACCGATCTGAACCATCGCCGACCACCGCTGATCTGAACCACCGTTGACCACCTCCATCTGAACCATCGCGGACCACCATCGATAACCACTGCCAACCACCGCCATCTGAACCGCTGTGGACCACAACCAATCTGAAGCACCGTTGACCTCCATCGATTTAGTAACATCATTTGGCTTATGGTTATATTTGGGTTTTGATTTTATATTGTTTTACATATCAAATAATTATTTTATTAAATTATTTTTAGTTTTAAAATAATTAAAATTTTCAAAAACGGCATTTTGGTCATTTATTAATATTTCATTCTAATTCCAAAGTTACATTATATGAAGCAAACATATAGATTCTAATTCTTTAATAGATTCAATTTCAATGTCTGATAACCAAACAAGTGGACAAACCTAACAATAGTCCATTCCAATTCATTCAAAGTCAAATTCATTTAACAAATTTCATTCCATCCGAAAACATTCTGCGAACCAAATGCCACCTTAGAGAATTCTCTAAACTTGAAGTTTTTTCATATTTTCTCTATTTTAAAGAAACATTATAGAGAACAAAAAGTTGATTTTTCTATTTAAAAAAGCTGTTAAAGATACTCTAAATAATCAAAATCCTCTTTAATTCCATTTTCATACTTTTTTTGCTAAAAAATATAAATACAATAGCTAAATTTTAATAGTAATTGGTAGTGGAGAATCCAAAGGCAATGAACAAAGATATATAGTAGCTTAGGGGGTAATTTTGTCTTTTTAAAAAAAGTGAATAGAAATAGATTTTCCTTTACATATGCAATGAAATAATAAAATTCATAAACAATAAAATCTATAAATTCCTTTGTGGTCACGGATGTTCAAATACAGTGACTCCGAGCTATCTGCAAAGCAGATGGTCCCCCAGATTAGTCGGCTCACATAACGGATTTGATATCCAGATTAATCAAAAAATAAATTCCATATAACAAACCAAACAGTTGGATCAAATCATTGTAAATTTTAATGGGAACCTTGATCAGAAATTCTCTGATAACAATATCATATTCATATATTACTTTTACAAGTGATAACATGTGTACTAAAACATCATCATTCCAAACAATAAACAATTTCTCATACAAGAAAGAAGCTAAATTTCAAAACTTTACACCAAAAAAAGAATAGCTTCACAAGTCACATTTATAAAAACACCCAAATTCTGAATACAAAAAACTTGTGCGACCAACTCGTTATTTTCCCACGGGTTCGATTCACAAAAACGGCTTCTTTGCCTAAGGTCGATGATATACGTATTTCGTTCTTGGATCCACAATAAGCCCTTTTCCTCCGTTCACTTCCAGGTCGTGCCTAAATATGCCAAAACATGTACCAAACGTAAGCAATTGATCCTTGGTCAATGGAGTGAACAAAAAAACACCAACAATGGAAAACGAAACCAATATATCCCACAGAAAATTAGGTTTGGGAAATTAAGACTCAACTGGAACACGAAGTCGGGGATAGTTAGCTGCTCACGAGGAACGTATCTGAAAAGCTGAAGAAGTCGATCAACGTATACAGCCTTTTTCCACACCTGTGAATCAATATCCCTTCGTATAAGAAAACAAAAAGAAAGCAGCTCTCACGAAAATTGTAACAATCTCGGTTTTGGGTTGTCTCATATGATCATGGCGTAATGTATCCTTTCTTGTCAATTTCCATATCATTACAGACTATTGATTTCGTCAAAATGGGGTGTATATGAGATGAGGAGGCTTGTGAACCAGCTCATCAAGACGCATGGCAAGCTTGAGCCAAGCCAACCAGATCAGTTAGCTATCTAAGCAAAGCTAGAAAACTCAGCAAGCCAACATGAGCTTATTCGAGTCTATACAAGCCACTTAGTGTAACTTATAATTTTTAGCCTACTAATCTTAACTTGAAGGAAACTTCCAATCGTAATTTTCAGATGATGTCATATCTGTACAAGCCATAGCAAGCCAAGCAAATGCTGAGAGCTTATATGAGCTCATACGCACCAAATCCACACACAAGTTGAGCTTTAGGTGAGTTTTGAGCCTGAGCTACATTTTAATTTTTGCAATCTTGGCGAGCCACAAGCCAAGTCTAAGCCAACCTACTCTTTTCACAAGCCAAGCTCCGAATAGAAAAAAGCCTACACTCAGCTGTGCTCAAATGCATCCTTAGTCTTTTGCAATTTTATTGAACATTTAAACTACTTAATCCATATGACATGTTGCAATTTTCAAAAGACGAAGGAAATTTCAATCATGATTGTACGTACCATGCCATCCACTAATAGTTGCAATGCAAGTATGGCAGCTTTCAGTCCAAACGTTGGGTGAAGAACGTATATTGCCTGCATTTGTCGGAAATAGAAGCATAAGTGAGTAAAACAATCACATAAGACAATAAATACCAAAAATCTACACCAGCCATCCATGAAAATTGCTACATTTCTTCATGTAACATCTTATTTTTGTGGAAAAATTACTAGTCAAAATTACATGTTTGTCTATTATCATCATTGTTTTCTACTCTTTGGAGTAGAGTTTGCATACATCCTAACCCCAAACCCCACCTCCGGGTGGGATATACTGGGCTGGTTTGATTTGGTTTGATTTTTCTATTATCATCATTGCAAATAAACTCTATACCATTGATTTGGGTGCACAAGATTCCTTTATTCACTTGGGTTGAAAGATGCATAGTCAAACATGTTATTTGAACCATTGTCGTCACCAAAGGGTCATTTACCCAGCGGTACCCGGGTTACCGGTTGAGCCCAACATCCCGTAAGATCAAGGGTTCAAACCTCAGTGTGTAGTATTTTTCGTATATAATATTTTATACTTTTGGTGAAGACTTGTTATGTAGCTTACATGAAGATTACGCTGGCATTTCCTGCCAAGTATTTGCTGCAATCTCCTCATAAATCCCAGGTCTGGCTGCCTGGTAACTCCATAAAATGATACATAAAAAGTGAATTCAAGTGGGTAATGGTCCAATATATTATATGTAAAATAAAAACAGAAAAAAAGTGTTTATGGATTATGATGAGCTAAAGTATTGAGAACTCACACTTGTAAAGATGCAGCAGAATGGAAGTAAACAATGCTAAAAGGTTTTTGAATCAAGGGCTCGAACTCCTGAAAATTTAACAATTTCAATCGAGGATTCATGTTCTATAAAGCTACGAGCGCATCATGAAGGAGACAGTAGATGGTCAGCACTCAAAAGTCACTCAATTCCTCCATGGAACTATGTGAAACAGCATGCTTTACAACTCTTGTGACCATGTTATTCTCACTCCAAAAACATCACAATACTTGGAGGACATGTTCCAAGAAGAGTTTTTACCTTTATTACATAGAGAACAAATCTTTCAAGATCGAGACAACGGAGGAGAAAATGTGCTCCGACTACAACCATTACTGGACGACCTTCACTGTCTACCCCTCCCCGGTACCTGAAATAAATGCACTGCATGTAAGCACTAAATGCATACCAATCAACACTGAAAACCAAAATAAAATTGTTGGTGAAGGATGACAACTCGTTCTTAAACCAATCAATGGCAGAAATAAAAATAAGTTTACTCCTATTCGAATTTTGTCGGTCTTCAAAAAGAATTTTGTAGTACACCATAAAAAGAACCTTTATTTAAAACCCAACAGCTACTTACAAAATCTTCATTTCTGTTATTTCAGAAAGATTAAGAGAATTTGCTTTGGCAAGGTATCTAGAATGGAGAGAGTATTCTTCAGCAGCAGAAAGTGCTGGACCCCCAAGATCACCAAACCCTAGCATTTTAGCAAAGTTGAACCCGTTTTGTGCTCGGGCAGTTCTTTCCCATTGTTCCTTGCGCCGCTGATCAGGATCTTTTATCAACGACATGAAAGCTGGATCTAAATATGATTCCAAATATGAAGAGTTCCTGTCATGAGAATATCTATAAGTACCAAACACCGATGATTAGATGAATATAAGGTTCCATTCCTTCATTTTTCTATTCTTTAGTTTGTGGCTCCCACTTCATTTCTTCTCGCAACCCACAATCGAATCATAAATGGGAGCCACAAAATAAACCAAAGAAACGTGGTATATCCCACCCAAATGGAAAGATTAAATGGCCAAAATGAATGGGATCTGCAATAACTTTAAAGTGCTCAGAAACGAGTATCAGAAGTCACTAACCGTCTAGCCAACCCGAGATCACTGACAGGAACATCTAGTGACGCTCGGGGAGGTTTAGGACTAGCCTTCTTCGCATTTGGTAAGGGCTTTATTCTGATTTTTCGTTCATCTATAACTGTCTCACCATTTTCATCTCCAACATCAGCAGGAAGCTTCGAAACTGCAATTTCTTCCTCCTTTTTATCACGGGGAAAGTAGAGCGGAAGTAGTCTACATTTGTAAAGCATATATGCATGCACATTTTTAGAGCGATGTCATATTAGCAAAAGATTTACTTGTAACAGCACAAAGCCATTTACATCACATGTCAGACTGAAGGCTGATTACTATAGAATACTGATATTTAAGATACTGGGGACGGGACCCCAGGAATATTTTAATTCAAAGAAAATAAAAAATGACCAAATTTAAGATCGGCAAAACAGGAAAACAAATACATCCACTAGCTTACCTCTTATATATTTCAGTATCATTTGCTGAAGTCAAACAAAAGACTACGCCTGTAATTTTATCCTTTTGTTTCTCAAGGAACCGACGGACAGTTCCTGATAGAAATAAGCATCAGTAACTATGAAGTAGCAGTTGAGTACAAGTATCATATAGGCAAAAATACAAAATAATTATGTGTAATGGATATGACTTCTCTAAACACATGTATGTTCATTAGAAGCTACTAAATGAGGCTGCTATATAAAACTAAATGAACTCCGTATATCCCGGAGGTGGAGTCTAGGGGTGGGATATATGCACACTTGACCTCTAACCCGAAGAGTAAAATGGTTGTTTCTGTGGAGACCCTCAGCTTGTGCAAAGCGTGCTGAAAAAAAACAAAGTTTCCCCAAAAGGTTTGAAAAAACCAAAAGAAGAAAAAATCTAGACTTTGTAAAAGAAGAACTTGAGACAAGAAAGGCAGATATGCTAAATTTTGAAGCCCGATCAGATAAATCGTTCATTTCATCTTCAACAACAAGATGCACTGCCTTACACTTCAAAGTTCACAGCATAGAAAAATTTGCATTCTTTGTCAAATATTTCCTGTATGTAGCCATCAAGGGAGGTACATTTTAATGTATTAAATCATTCATCCATTTCCTGCGTTTGCATGCCTTAAATCTCGAGCTCTGTGTTATATACTTCATTTGTCGCATGAAAATTGCCACTTCAAATTGGTACGTAGTTTATTCTAAAATATTCTTTAATAAAAACAAATAAAGAAATCTTGTCAACACAAATCAATAACATCAACTTATTGTAAATATGATAATTAGCAAATAGACATTTTTAAATATGAATCTTTCCGAAAAACGGAATGGTCATCCAAAAAAGTAAGTGGAAGTACACACACACATATGCACATATGTGCATGTTAAAGTGAGAGCGTACTCATGAAGGCCATCATAGTCACCACTTTCACCAATGATAGAATATAATGCATATAATTGGCATGGCATATTCAAGCAGAAACATGATTTGTGTAAAGGGAACATAAGAAGCATAAAAGGGATTTCTTACTTATTGCCACATGAGCGGCTGGTTCCCGTGGGTAATTTTTTGCCTCCGTGTATATACAGCCCATAGCAATGCTGCATTCACATATTTCATTGGATAATAAGCTCATTATAACAAATGGAGCAGACTACATGAAATATAATAAATGATTGTATGCAGCCTATGGGTCTGAAACAACCTCTGAAGCCCGTTCTCAATGAGGAGTTCTAGACAAGAACGATAGCAGTGGCTCAAGGCATTTTCTGCTGCAGTATGATATTTTACAGCATACTTAGGCCCAACTGTATGTATAACCCTCCTGCAAGAGAAACATAACGTATAATTAGGTGTGTTAGTGAACAATTTGTAGTATATTGAAACAAATTATCGTCCTTGAGAACACTAAGAATAATAGTAAAATTATAACAAAATGCATGTAGTTTCAAACATGAAAGGCTCATATGCATCCATCATCCAACTTTGTTTTGTTACAGATTGAAACTAAAGGAGCTAGTCTTATATGAACTGATGCTAACTATATTCGGTTTTACACTGCAAGGAAAGAAAAAAGGGAAATACTAAATGGGGAAAGAAGAAAACAATACTCAATTAGATTTAGTCTGGCAAGATGATGAAGTGCCAAAAAAATTCATCTGTTTAGGCTCATGATTATAAAACCATCTTGGATTTTACTTCAGTATGTCTACAAGCACACAGAAAATATGAAAGCATAGAGAAGACTACAAAATCCAAAAAGAGCCCTAAATGATAGTATTGAAGCAAGAAGGGAGTTCTTAAATGAATAATGAGGACAAGGATGAAAACCAAAAAGAATCTTGAAAAAACTAAAATGGTGTCTACCGCTTATGTCGTTAAGTCGGGTTGCAGTTGATAGAAATCAGCAAAATGTATGGGTTCTAGTTTATGACCAAATCTATCTTGTGTCTTAGTAGAGTTGCATTATTATAATTAAGAACTGAATCTTCTAAAAGAGGACCAACTTGCATCTTTTTTATACAAGAGATTCCATTCACCGCCAAGGAGCATTCATTCCTTCCAAATTCCTATCATTCCTCCCCATATTGAACCCTTACCCCAAAAGCAATTAAAGGGGATCTTCTAGCAGAAGCATATCAACACCATAATCATTTCTCATCAGGAAAGATACCACATATATCACAGCAAGTCTTCAACTGAACAAATAAATGCCCATAAGCCCCATGGTTACAATATGTGGCTGGAATATCAATCCCTCAAGTTAAGCAAAAAGGGAAGTGATGAAATGCGATAGCAAAGGTATAGAATTTACTATAAAAACTACTAAGATCTATTCAGATTCGTGAGTGACAGGAAATAGAATTTAAGTTGTTTGTTTGATGGCCAATCACCAGTGGTGAATTACCTAAAGCAAAAGGTGAGACAGTCCTACCAAGGACATATAAGTTTGCACAATGCTGTCAAATGTGAATGTGTTCAAAGGGTGGATGCAAGCTAATATCAAATCTATTATCTTCTATTCCAACGCTGCCATGATAACATTTTTTTTAACTTACTCTAAATAAATAAACTAACAGCTATTACCTTTCTTAATCCGTTTTTGAGTATGAATGTACAACATAAAATTTTGAGTATAAATGGATATGAACAGGTGCCATCTCTTTTTGTATTTTTGAACCTTATTTTAAGTTATTTTCCTATTTTGGTGCATACACGTTCTAATACAAATTCACTTTATTTCCCAATCTCTTATCAAGAGAAAACACAAATATAAACAAGTAAATATCCCTTTATTGAGCTAGCTAGCTAGCATAGACGGGAGGAAGGGAGCTAGAAAGGTAGAGGCTGGGGGTAGGGTTACAGAGCCCAGTTACGTTGCCAGATACCTAAGTTAGATTCAGATGTGTGGTTTTCTTACATTGGCGATATTTCCTTGTACTTCCTTCTGTTTGTATATTGTTTCTAACTCATAACTAGCTTTCCAAAAGTTATTGTATCTGCCATCCTTGTCTCACGTTCTTTTGCAAAATCTTCCTCTTTTTTAGCTAACTTTCTTTTGTGAAGGCTTCTAACAATGTATTTCCTCAAAACTTTTAGCTAACTTTCTCTCTTTCACACACTTTTAACAAGTCGTGAGTCTTCATGGAAGCAGTTGCTCTACTCTTTGGGGGTGGAGGTCAGGTATGCGTGCATCATACCCCCCCCCCCTCCCGACTACACCTCCGGGCGGGATTTACTCGGCTAATTTAGTTTTGTTTGGTAAATATCCCTTCATGGATAAAGCTTAATAGCTTTGATGTCAAATCCTATGTGTAGGTAAACACTATATAAAGGAGGCATTAGTGCTTAAAAAAATCACATTACGACTGTACAAGTCACCTAATCACAACTTACATGTCAGTTTGCTTGTCATTGTAACAACGAGTGATTCAGATTATAGATCTTATATGCATAGAGGTTAATGTCGTAAATTCGTAATTGTCATTAGCTTTTACAGCTTCACCTGATAGTATAAAGAAAAGAATTTGATCAAACAAGCCAAAGCCCACCTTGCAGGTAGATCGTAAGCATTGGTGACTTTTGCCATTCCTGTTCTGCAGCCACCCTGAGGCAAAGAAGTTGCATCACATATCTTCCCATCACCAGAAAATTTTCATAAAGACATCCAGCATTCCAACTATGACACCATGGGGAAAAGATCTATGGGTATACCGAATTCTTTGATTCTTTTTAAATATCAACACATGTTATACAGAAGATGGCCTTTCATTTCAAGAAATAACTATAAATAGAAAGATCGTGTTACCAATGTCGCACATTCTTCAGCAAGACCAGGCCCAGCCGCAGCATGCAAACCAGGACTGCAGTGAGCTTCATCCAAATTCTGCCAACAAGAAACATCTTATGAAAAGCTGTACAGCCTGTACTAGCATCAATAATTTCCAACCCTAGCATGGAACGTTCTAGATGCTCAACTCTAGGGAAAGGATACAAAACAGTTGCAGGATTCACTTCTTGAGGTTTCAGGCGCATCCGACTGAATTTATAAGTTTAATGTAGGGTGACAACACAAATTTGAAGGCATCAGGGCAAATCTTAAGTGCAAAAGTGTATTATGGCAGTGGATAACATCAATTCACTGGATAACGTTAATTCATTTTACATCTTAGATGTAAAATCTTGAATTCATTATTTCTCTAGTACATAAATATACCTACATAACTAACTTAAGTTATACAACAGCATTTTGAATGAGAATTCATCGATTTTCATTGGCATTAACAAGCACAAAACAATAAAGAGGCATGAAAATAATAAGTTATTAGATTTTAAGAAAGAAAAGTGGCTTGTCAACTACTAGACTACATGAAAATTAAGCTATACCAGTCATGTTTCTAGGTAAGCCATTTACGTACGTATAATAATGATGTGCACATATGAGAGTATATCAATAATAAACAGTTAAACACTAAATATTCAATAAAGAAACGCACATTACCGATCTCCACTCTGGCAACAAACATAAGAATTAACTGCTCACCTCATTCGAAGAGTTAACAACAGCATCTACCTCAAGATTCCACGGGTTTCCTCTCCAAAGATAAATCTTCGAGTTAACTTCATGATCAACAGGAAACCTAGAAACTTTTCCACTACTTCCTTCCCCAGAAGATGAAGTTAACGGATCAGGGAAGTGCGAATTTGGAAAATTGGGATCTTCAATTTCATAAGAATATCGAAAATCCCCATCACTCCATCTAGGAACTTCATCAAGAGTCACCACAGCATCTCCGTTGTCAGTTGGTTGTCCACCACGGGTCGTGGTTGTCGCCATATGCCGGTACATTTGTTGCCTCCACCACCCTTCTTTATCCACAAGAAGAATAATGACAATTATTATCCCATCTATCCCTCTCAACTCACACAAGTTCAAAAAACCGCCATTACAAGTTTTTCAACCCCCAAACACCTTCATCATACCAAAAAAATTAAACAAATTCTATTAAGCACCATAACTTTGCCCACAACAAAATCTAGGGAAATTAGGGATGTGGGCAAATTGCCGAATTACATCAAAATCAAAATCAACTTGATGCAAAACTGAATAAGGGTATCAAAAAAATTCCTTCAAAAACATAATCGTCGATTGAAGTTTCAATAATTTCGGTAAATTAACTAAATAAAAGGAAATTTTGCATCATATCATGATCATCATATAGGAACATGAAACAAACAAGCACAAATTCAGAATTATTCGAAATTACACTAACTGGATTAAACGTAACAGACGCATGTTGAGATGCATAAACTGAAATTACAATTACCTGCTAATCGGTGAGAGATTTGAGGCTGTCAATTCAGAGAGAAGAGAGACATCGACAATTATTGGCTGGACCTTGGTAGAGCTTATGTAAAATTACAATAAAATTAAAAACCAAAATAAAATTAAAAAAAAACACCCGGAGCTTCATTGTTTTTGTGTGGTTACGACTACGGCTTTTGAATGTTGCCAGAATCACCCTCCATCTTTTCCTCTTTTTACCTTTGTGGTCCCTGTCAATAAATATGGTTCTATGTCATCCTAGAGATCCGAAAACACCCGGCCCGGGCCTTCCAAACGGTGAACAAAAATGAGGCCCGGACCGGATCGGGTTTTGAGGTTGACATAGGGCTTGATCAGTCTTTTCTAGATTGAGCTTTTTCGGGTTTTACCAAGTTTTTTCAGGTCCGATTTTTTCAGATCGAATCAGATCTCCAAATTTCTGTCCAATCGGGCTTTAATCTTGAGCCTTTTTGTGCCATCTTTATGTCATTCAAATTCAAGTATAAAATCCAAGATCGAATCAATAAATGTATTGAAAAGTTGGCTCTTTTACTTGGGAAAAATGGATGCATTGCATATAAAAATAAAAACATATTTTTATTCATTATTTTACTTTAAGGAATTTGTTTTTAAACAGTACAGTATCAATTGTTGATATAGAACTGATTAACATATGTAAAACTTGACATGCTTTTAATGTAAACATTTTTCAAAAGGTAAACTAAAAGAGTGTTTGGGATTGCTTATTTAAAGTGTTTATTGACTTATTCCGGTGTGGTATCGGTAATAAACAATTTTTAATGTTTGGATGAAAAGAAAAAAAAAACTGCTTATACCGATATCAAACCAGTAATATCTAACTTTACAGAAGTTCCTATTTTAGGTTCCAAAATCTATTTTGAAATACCAAGTTCTAAAACTTTCCATTTTAAGCAACCAAAATAAAACTAATTTTTCCTTTTATTCTTATTTTAAAAATTAATTCGGTCATGTGACCCTTAATTGAAATTTTTCCAAAGTTAATGCCTCAAAATATAAACTCTGGAAAATTGGTTCATATAAAATATAAATAAAAATAAAGTTGAATTAAATTATTTAATAAACATTTTTTAATTATGTTTTTTAAAATAAAAATATGTTTTTTTAAAACTGTTTATGGAATTGTACGTTTGTGTTGGAATATCCTCATTGAATCCATTTTGTAAGCATCTAATAACGTGCAAGTTTCAAATTGGGCACATGATAGCAAAAATGTTTGGTATTTTTTTTAACCATGGATTTATGGGTTAATTTATATTTTATATGCATTGATTTTTTAATCGATCATAATAGTCTGGAGTCATTGTAGGTGAATTTCCATAGCCATAAAGACTTTATCAACGTCTGGATTCAAACTCGGAGTAGATGAGATTTTTCACTGTATCCCTTTAACCAAATGGTTAGAAATGTTTGGTATTTGTAGAAAACGGGCAGTTGCTAGTTATATATCTTAAAACGATGAAGATACTTATATTGTTTTTATTTTAAAACACAGTAATTTTGATCGTTTGACGATCATGACTTCCCGTCAACTCGAAAATACAACAAGACTCTTTCGATTTTTATTGAATTAATCTCTCTTTCTTAATTGATAACGATAAAATATTATCATATACGTGTAAGGTTATGGTCATTACTGCCTTCATATTCTCTCATTAGTTTCGTGATTTCAAAAAGTTTCGTATATCATCAATGAAATTATAAGATCCATGCGAACATTTGAAATTGTCGTGAGATTATTACTTGAACACCGGAGATGAAGGATCCAATGGTTATTATATATTCATAAATAAATACCAACTATTTAATTTAAAAAACTAGTAAATTGTCACTTCATACCAACTTTAAGGTAAAAACCAATGTTGTTATAAGAAATCTGCACAATGTAAATTTTTATAAGAAATTAAGAATTTGGAGATGTTCAACTTTCCAATAATACCCTTCAAATTAGCCGTTAACACGATTTAAGACATTGAAAAATACAAAAAAGCCCAAACTAGTTATTTAAAAAAAAAAAAAACAGCCGTTGGAGGTCCTTGACCGATCCATATCATCCTAAAATCGATCCTTCGGTCTCGATCTTATCCGGCGGTTTTCAACTCCGAAACAAGGACTTCTGCTCGCATCAGCTGGTGGTGCGGCGATTGGCGGCATACCTGTTGTTATCGTGGTGGCCAGTGGCGGCAACTGGTGGTGGTGCAAGGTTGTATATGCTTCTGCTCACATCAATCCAACTGCCTATTCAAATTCTCCAAAAGTGTGTGAATCTCTTCTATCCTACGATTCGTTTTCTCGCCAACAACAAACTCGTTAACGACACCACAAACCTCAATAGAACTGCACCCAGGTACTTTATCCAGCCCTCGGGTTTTCATCAACTTTCTAGTCCGTTGCAGGCTATCAACATCATCAGTACTCGAATATAAATTAGACATGAGTACGTAAACCCCACTATCGCTTTCTAATTCCATCAGTTTCTCCGCTGCCATTTGCGCAAATTCTATCTGTTTATGGCTCTGGCAAGCACTTAGTAATGCTCGCCATGCCACGGCTGCTTCTTTTGGGCTACAAGAATTCGGTATTTTTTGGATTATATCATACGCTTCTTTAAATAAACCAGCTCTGCCAAGAAGATCGATTATGCAAATGTAGTGTTCGGTTTTTGGGTTGATATTGTATTCATTACACATTCTGTTGAAAAACTTTAAACCTTCGTGTTGCATACCGGAATGACTACAAGCGGTGAATACAGCAATGAAAGTAACATCATCCGGTTGAACTCCGGCCACCTCCATTTCTGAAAACAATCTAAGAGCGCGTAATCCTTTCCCATGAATTGCTAGTCCCGAGATCATAACATTCCAGCAAATGGTATCTCTTTCAGGCATTTCATCGAACACTTTCTTAGCAACATCCAACTTCCCACATTTACAATACATATCCATCAATGCAGTGCCTAATTTCACACTATAACGCAATTTTATCTCATTCAGCAGTTTATGAATCCAAATCCCAATCTCGAGTGCTCCTAAATGAGCACAAGCACCAAGTATGCTCACGAATAGAGCCTCATCAGGCACAATGCTTGTTGATTGCATTAAACGAAACATCTCTAAACCCTCTTTAAAACAATTATTCTGCACATACCCAGAAATCATAGAACCCCAAATTCCTCTATCCTTAATCGGTGCTTCATCAAACGCAACTCGAGCCAGCTCAACATCCCCGATTTTAGCATACCCAGATATCAAAACTGTCCATGACACAACACATCGCCTTGGCATTTCATCAAACACATACCGTGCATCTTCCATGTTACCAAACAAAGAATACATCATGATCAAGGTGTTTCCCACAAAACTATCAAACAAAAACCCCAATTTCAAACAATGCCCATGAACCAGCTCTCCAAGACGAAAATTTTCCATGTATGCACAAACTTTCAACATGTAAGGAAGTGTGTAATTATCAGGATACATACCGTTCTCAAGCATCCGATTGTATAACTGAAACGACATCTTCAATTCGTTTCGAAACAAGCAAGCTTTGATCATGGTATTATATAAACAATTAGAGGGTTGTTTAGTGTGTTGTAAGATATTTAAGCCATGCGACAAGCCACCATGATGATGAGGCTGTGAACAGAAAGCCAATAACCTGCTCAAAGCATAGTGATTTTCTCCTAGGCCACATGTAATTGCTTGACCATGAACTTGTTTTAGTTGCTTCATGTTGTTGCATTTCTCTAGCAGCAAAAGGCATCTTCCGGTCGTTGTTGACATTAGAGCCCACGATCTTCATCGAGCAAGATTAAGAACGAGATCTAGCAAACCCCCGGCCACCATGTTCATACATATTTATGGCCGTTTCGTATTTTTCATTCGGAGGAAAATTTATAGCAATCCCCATATTCGTTATTAGTTTCATAGTGAGGGGTGTTTGTTGATGCTATTAATTTATTATAAATTAAAATGGTTTAACTTTTTTAAAAACTTATTATAACCAGTTTGATATCGATATAAGCTATTTATCCAAATACTTAAAAGTGATTATTACTGATGTTACATAAAAATAAGTCAATAAATTATTTTTATAAGCAATCCCAAATACCCCCTGAGTCTCTTTGGTTAGACCGGTCTATTCATGTGACATCATTACATTTTAACTTCACAATAAAACATTGCATAAGTAAAAATTCAAACATTTATAACAAAACACTGTGAAAGTTATCTTCACAATATTTTACTGCAAAAGTTATTTTCACAATGTTTTACTGTAAAGTTTCAACCGTAAAAATTTCATGGGTCTCAAGAAAACATTATGGTTTCACATAATCATAGATCTCATCATTAAATTAAACACTGTATTTTATGTAGAAGTTAAAAAATTATGCGATTAATAAAATCTTTTTATATCGTCCCAAATTAAAATTAGTTTAAAATAGTGGGATGAATTTGATGGTAACTTGAGAACCAAATCTTTCTATCTATACTATATTGTAAATTATTTGATAAAAACTTTTAAAAACTATTTTTATGTATTAAGTACTGTTTATTGATGCATATTACTCAAAATTCAAGATTACAAGTAAATTGTGCGTATGTACAACGTATTAAAACACCATGTTTGAATTCAGGTAACTAACCGCAGATAAATATAATCAAATACCGGATAGGTATATTATTTTAAATATAAAAAAATCTAAACTATATTTAAGATGATTATTGAATTCTAACAAAATACTAATTATTACATTTATAAAAAAAAACTATATTGTTAAAACATAAACAAATAATTCATTATTAATTCTAAATTAAATTACAATAGAAATTGAATTAAAGAAATTTAAAAAAATATATTTAATTTGATACTAAAATCGATATATTTTTTTCAAAAATTTATTATACCTTCAAATCTATATTTTATTGAAAAAATAAAAATATTATCGTTTTTCAGTACTACATAAAATAATATTATAACATCGACGAAGATAGAATAAAACGAAACATTAAAATCGAGATGTATCTCGTTGCATTACGCGAGTACCATTCTAATGATAAAAAATAAAGAGTAAATTATCTATGTGGTTTGTTGAAAATTGCAATTTTTGTTTTATATTTTTTAAATTTCACAAATTTTATTCATGTAATTTTATAATTTATTGTTCTTTTTGTTCTTATCATTTACAATATACTCTTGTTTTCGTTCTTGTAATGTATAACTCATTGACATTTTCGTTCATCGTACTTAAAGGTAGTTAGCATCTCGAATAGAATATTCTTATAATAACTATATGACACTCATATCGTGATTTTTATCTTGAACTTGATGTGAAATGACATTTTAAACCACAAGGGTGGTGCTTGATTGGTCTGAGCTTGGCTCCAAATGTCAAAAGTACCAAGAGATCTCAGGTTCAAATCCACGGAGGAATAAAAAATCCCCTTGTAGTCACGAGGTTCAAATGCGGTGACTTCGGGCTATCTGCAAAGCAAGGTGGTCGCCCTAAGATTAGTCGACTTGCATAACGAGTTAGATATCCAAGTTAATAAAAAAAATGACATTTTAATATTTTTATACATATTCTTTTGGAAATTTTCGTAGTTTTTTGTATAGTTATTAATGTTGAAAAAGTAAACGAAACCCATGAAAAAAATTCTTATAAGAACGGCCATTGTGAAGTTTTATATAGGTTTTGAATTTAGTAAGTTGGAAATTATTCGACAATAATAAGTACAAAAATGAGTATATGAATAAAAATCATAATTTCAAAACTGGATGTACAAAAATTGTAATTTTTGATAAATTATAGGGACTAAAAATGTAATTTACTCAAATAAATAATAATGCTTTGATGCTTTTATTTTAAATTGCTAAAGTAATCATATTTTTTCGTATTCTAATTCAAGCTTATTTATATGTTTGTTATAAAGTATAATATATTTATGATATTGGTTTTAATTTACAAGTATTTGCAATTTTCTTATTATTAAATAATGTTTAGTTATTTAATTACTAATTATTAGTTTTAAAAAATTGATAAATTATCAAATAATTTATTATGAAAAAAACATAAAAAAACAACTTACAAAACATGATAACTCAGCTATTGGTGTCAACAGTTCCCCTAAAAATCGTGTTAACTTTCATTAAAAGAGAATTTTGTCTGATTCAAATGTATGTGACGATAGACTCGAATCATATATTAATAACCATCATTGTATGATTATTAGGCTTTTGATCCATGGTATTAATCAAGTCTTATAATCCTACAACCTTCATGTGTATGTTTATGTTTCTTTAAAAGGATAAATGTGTAATTATGTCATCTATTTTACAAGAAAAACACTATATTTGGATAACATATTGAAAGATTGAATCATTGGAGTTTAAAGAGCAACAAAAACGCTATTTTAACGTATGGTCGGAGTTGTTGTAAGATATGAACGCGATTTACAAAAACGGAGAAATGCCATTATATAACGTGGTGCTCGAATTCATAAAACGCAAAAAAGATCAATTAATGCTATGTACTATACAAGTAAATTCCTTTGGAACATTGAGAGGTTTATCAGGTATATGATGTTTGAGCTACAACAGGTAACGAGAATACGACTTCGAGATTCTTGTAGGAGAACCTGTGATGAATGCTTGTTTTCGTGGGGGTGTATCGTAAACTAACTATTCACTAGACACAAATCCGAGTAATGAAGTTGATTAAAACAAGAAATCTGAGTCCGAGAGTTCAAGTACTTTGTGAATGCCAATCGGGTTCACCCCAGGCTTAAATGCATTTCCTTCGATGTACCTGCAAATCCACGATACTATTAGTATTAGACGCAAGACTCCTAAAATGCAAACATGGTAACCTCACCAAAACCGAACCAAATGTACCCGGTATATCGCGCTTGAAAGTAGGTCTGGGACAAACATGCTCAGTATACCCACTCGGAAGTAGGTTTGGGACAAACGTAGACAATATATCTCACTCGAAATTAATTATGTCTGAGAGGCGTAGAACGTAGACAGACTTTTCCTCTGCCCCCAAGGGGGTAGAGGGACCGTTTCTGTGAAGACCTCCCCCCCTCCATGAGAAAATGTTTTGCAGAGACAAAAATTGTCGAGTTGGAAGGAGAGAACGAAAGGAGGAAGCTTACAATTCTTTCAAATATGGATGCTTATAGAAGGCATCAGGAATCCTCCCACTAAATTGATTGTGATCCAGGTACCTGAAATTTGGACACACAAAGCTCAAATCAGATCTCTTGCACTCTCTCTCAATCACAAGCAACCCCGATAAATTGTGATGCGTAACTACCATCGCACCATACGTATGTTTGCTGAAAATGTGAGGGAATAGTAACTAAAATAGAATCATACCCTCAGATGAAATTTTGGGAATTAATGGAGTATCTAGAAACCACAAGAATAGAATCTTTAAAGCAAATGTTACCAATACTTTGTAATAGTGAGTAAAAAAATAACTTCCTATTACAACTACTCCAAAGAAGGAAATCTTGCATTGATTTTGGGACAGAAGGAATAAGTAATTTGCATCAATGCCATTGACTAGCATGCTGAACATTCAATCTGATTTATAAGAGTTGGTTATAATCAAAACATTGATTATATTTGGGTTGAAGTTCATTTTCCAATGAATTAGTTTTGCACCCTCTCAATCAATAGCTCAAATTTGATAAGTTATCTTGGAGTCACCGCACATCATCACTTAAGCTACGAGTCGATAGACAACGGGATATGAGCATACTTACAAGTAAGTTAATTTGGGAATATGAGCAACTCCAAATGGTACTATCCCAGACATTTTGTTGTAAGATAAATGCCTGAAACAAACACAATATACATTAACATTAGTTTAAAGATACCAGCTTTCAATAGAATTTTGGTCTATAAAACATATTTGCGTATTCAATACTCACAAAATTTCCAGATTGGTCAAGTTTGCAAGCTGCGCCGGAATACCTCCCGTCAGATGGTTATTATTTAGATAACTGCAAATTCCATTATGCGGGTAAATAAAATCTTCAAAACAGCATAGATAGATGGAACTAGGGATTGGAAGTGGAAAAACTTTGAAGTTGCCAACAAGAATGAACATACAGGTTGCGCAGAGCTGGAAAACATCCTTCTATACGTATCAGTTCCCTGATAGTTCCAACCAAATGATTGTCACCAACATCCCTACAAACACGGTTTCTCATTCAGATTATCAGAGGGCTTCATATTTGCAAGCTTAACAGATAAAACGGTAGTGAAAAAGATGAATAGTACAAATGGCGAAGATTTTGTAAGGAGCCCAATTCTGGTGGAATACGCCCAATGAACCGATTTTGGTGCAGATGAAGATACTGTAGCTCTGGGAGATTAGCAAGCTCCCTGGGTATTTCCCCTTTAAAGTTATTGAAACTCAAATAGCTGCAAGTCAAATGAGCAAGTAATCCAATCAGAATCAGATGTTTCTCTCATAGATAGTCAGTCGAAGAAGTATTTATCACATCAAAAGGAAAAAAAAACTCACAGGTGTGTTAATTTCTTCAGTTCACCTATTTCAGGAGGAATGACATCCTGCAGCTTATTCCACCTCAAATTACTGGAAAAGAACAACACCCATTACCAAAAATGAGTTCTAGTCGGTTGGTGATTACTTTGTTAAGCATATAGAAGTAGGATTCTAATTTGTGATGACCATGTGAAGTGAGGATTAGTATGGGTGGAATGAGTGTCTTATCTGCCTAGATGTAGCATTGGCCTACATGGAAAGTTGCATTAAATGCATGAAGTATGTCATCTAGACTACCACCAATTAAGACGCACATAAGTTGCGAGAGTGAGAAAGAACAAAAGAACCACTCATATCATAAGCAGCTGGAAAACCATGTGTGTTAAGCGAGATTTCTGAGTTTCATTAAAGTGTCTATCTAGTGTGTTCGGTAAAAGGGGATTTCCAAACAAGCCGGCTTTCAAGTTCAAAGATTTTAGCAGCAGTGTTCCAAAAAAGCATCAAGCAGAGCTAGATGGTCCAGTGACCTTCCAGTACTTGGTTACTTAAGCAGGAATTAAACAGAAGCATAAGAGGTTCATTTTAAAATATAAAATATAACTATCAATGCCGATGATATTATGTAGTTTGGTATTTTAGAAGTGAATTATTGAGCTGAGTATCAACTTCGGTGACATCATACAATCATTCCCAATCTGTTTGGTGGAAATGTTGTGGGCCTTTTCAATCTTCCATGGAGGAGAGAGATGAGTAAGATTGACAAAAACGAGAACTTAAGGAATTATTCTGCATTAAGATATTGAATTTCCCATGAAAACTCAAGGAAACTATTCTGTTTCAGAAAGGAATTTGCCAGGTTTGACAACTTAACGCAATTTGAAAAGCCAAACTTATGTTACGTCTAGTCCTTTACAAGAGTAAAAGTACAATCTCGGGAAGTTTAATCTGATTTCTGATTGTTTAACCTATTTTAAATTTATAATTATCAGATTATTTAGACATCAGATGTAAGCCAAGATAATGCAGGGCATGTATCACAGGTTGCATGGTGGGTGCATCGTACCTATGTTATTCCCATGAAAACTAGAGATATAAGATGATCAAAAAATGTGTAAATTCGCATAACACCGTCTAGCCCTTGCAATGGGACAGCAATACTTGAGTCAAACTTCAAGATTTTCTCTTCTCTTATTTATAACTAGTCCATTAGCAGGGAATCCTTTGTGGTAGTTCTTTTCCTGATATCATATAATTTGAATATTTGAAGTTTATTTCACCAACTTCCATTAACCAACCACTTTGGAGGACATTTACTTAGAAGCTTATTTTTCATTTCGAACTACATTAATATTGTAGGATATAAAGTTTGGTTAAGATTCTGCATTATCTTTTGAGGCATTCTATAAATGGCACCAAGTCTTTTAGATTTTATTGAAGATCTTTTAGAACTATGTTTAATTGTTTATGTCTATTTGGTCTCATTTTCGCTGCAGATTTGGGACGTTACAGTTATATGCCTCTTTGCATTTGTGATATTCTATCAGCTGCATTACTAAAAGCCAATTAATTGAATTTTAAATAAGCTTATAAACTTTGAATAAGACTCATTAGTGGCTTATATTTGTTCGTTTAAGATTTGTCCTCTTTAAAAAAAATAACTTAATAATTAAATATCAATTTCACATATAGAGTCTTACCTGTTCGATAGTTACAATTGCACTAACAACCCAAATCTTTATGTTAAGAAATCTAATCACAACTTCATGCTCCAGCAACATTTATAAGTTAACATAATGTTGGAATATAGTAGGCCATACCAGTGACAAACCAACAGACCACGTACCAAAAAAGAGGGTTGGCGATCTAAATGTGGCTAAACTACTAAAACCTACAGGTCTAGAAGCATAACATATTAAGACGTTACAAAAAGGTTGCAGACTCATAGCATTCTTAATCCAGATAGTTATGAACCGCAAAGACGATTAGTTGATGCATGATCCTTGCATGTGTCAAGTACACCAAGGCATATTGATAATCATGACAATATCTAAAAAGCAATAGAGATTATATGAACACTAGCTATATGCAGAAGCACCACAAATGACTGATATAAAGTGTTCTGGTAAAGCATTATACAGTATTTTAAGCCGCTTTAAACGCCCGATTTGAGGTGGAATTGGTCCAGTCAATTTATTGTTGTGGAGATCCCTGCCAAGAAAAATGAAGTAAAAATAAAAAAGACAAATCCAAGCCAAACCATTATTTCCGATAGTAACAAACTAAGAACTTCCACTAATTAACTTCACCATCAACCATAATTTAAAAATAAAGGTGCAAACAACTGAACAAATTAAGCAACATTAAAAAATGAGTAAATTAGGACAGAAAATCGTACAGCCTAGTAAGATCCAGCAGATTGGTTACAGCAGTAGGAAAAGCCCCAACAATTGACACCGCATATACTTCCCTGCAATGATGTAGTTGGAACCAATGCAGACACTTTTAGAAATTATCAGATTGGTTTCACAATTTCAAAATTCATGCCACATACATGCAAAATTTTGGAACAGGTTAAGAGCAGCAGTTTTCATCATCTAACATCTTTTAACCATGGGGAAGTGACACTTACAGTTCAGTAACTACTCTATAATCACCTTGCGTGGAGCAAGTGACGCCAGACCAAGCTGGTAAATCACCATCTCCACATGGATCATCTCCAACCCATGCATACACCACCCTCCATCCAAGAGATGCTTTAATTTCGTTAAGAGCTTTCACTGCAAGAAATGAAAGATGTTACTAGTTCACTCAAAAACAGCTTAATCATACTTCCATTTTCGTTATTTCAGATCAAACTCTCACAAATTACACATCAAAAAGATTTTATCAGAGTTCCTCGAACCAAACAAAAAAAGTATTATAGACACCAATATGACAGTTTCTAGAGGACTGTCAAGAGATAGAACTGCTGGATGCCAACATCTTCCAATTTATGGATTTTTGGAACTTAATTCGGTAGCTTGGAATTATAATTGAATTAAAAATCAGTCTAAAGTTCGAATCAAAACCAAATTACGAATCCGATCCCTAACATTGATTCTACTCTATCAATAGCCGTCCTAACATACGTTCAAAGGTTAGTAAATCAAATCCACACCAAGTAAATCATCCCAAAAAGTAAACAAACCATTTTGAATTTCCCTACAAATGATGGGATCTAAGAGCAACTGAAGAGTCAGATTAAGTAACAAAATCACAAACACTCATACTGAATTTAAAAATAAAGAAACGAAGTAATAGCGTATCTTCTGAATATATGGTTAGACAATAACATATGAGATCATGTGTCCCGAGTCCCGACTAAATATGCAAAATACAATCGAGAAATTACCGTCTCTTTTTAGGGTTTTGCAGTGCACAGCAACGTTGAAAAGGCAAAGAAGTAGTATAAGCAATGAAAATCCAGTAGAAACTCGAAGACGCGGCATTGTTGATGTGGATTTGGAATCCCCTTTTTGCTTTCAGAATTTCAAATTCGCATTTGTTCTTATTTTCTTTGCCTGTATGTATATATCAAGTAGATCGTGATACTAATCAAAAGACTGTGTGTGCATCCGAGTAAGATCTCAGACCGAAGGGGAGAGAGAGAGAGAGAGATTTTCAGCAGTGAGACAACGCGTAAGGTTTGGCCTGTTATCGTCGGCGGGTCCTTGAACGCCATTTTCAACGGAAAAGTTTAAAAGTGATTCAAGACGATTTTTTTAAACCAAATAAGTCTATGAATATTTAAAAACACTAGAAACTTACTCGCGCAATGCAGCGAGATACATCGTGATTTTAATATTTCATTTCATTYTTTATCTCAGTCGATGTTATAATATGACTTTATGTGATTTTGAGAAATCGATGATGTTTTTATTTTTGAATAAAATATATGTTTGAAGATATCATAAAAA